GGAGGCACCTCCCTTTGAGGTGGGGAGGGGGAAGCTCAGAGACCAAGGGCAGTGGTGACGACTGCCCAAAGGACTCCCAAGAAGAGGGAAGAGGAGGCTGAGGGAACACAAGGGAGGGTGTTTGAAAAAGGGTGAGAGTCTGCCAACTCTGCAGGCAAGGGGTGACATAACTGGGCTGCTGAGCCCCACAGGGGTGCTGCAGAAAGAATGTAGTTGGTCAAGGGATCTGTGCACTTGAAAAGGTTGAAAACCTCTGCATTAGACCATTCACTCATCAGATAACATATGAGTTCATCCCTGAAGGTCAGCATTCAGAGTTTGCAATAGTTAGGTAATGAGAAATGTGGTTTCTTTTCCAAGAAGTGATTCTGATCCATGGTAGAAATTTTCCCCTCAGGATTGTCAACTTGGGCATACATATATATATACACACACACATATGCTTTTATTGCAAAACTTCTATAGGGCTTCTGTTCAGTTTTTCACTTACTCTTGTTCATCCAGCCACTGGAACATGTGATCAGTACATGATATTGGCCTCAAAAGGCAAGGGAGGAGGGGGTGGCATCAGAATAGGCTGATGTCATATAATATGAGAATAACTCAGTTCAAAAGTTCAGCAATTGGCTCTTACTCAGGAGCCCTAGGAAACATAAATGTGACACAAAAAGTGACCATTGGACAAGTTGCATATTGTTTTCAGAACTGGATTCATTTCACACAGCCATGGGCACCGTGAAACTAAAAGTAGATAGATATTGCAAATCTGACTTATCGCTCTATACCAGTGGTTCTCAACTTTTTTCTCTGTGCCACACTTTCAGAAAAAAAATTTCCTTGTGCAACACCAGATTTTTTTTATTGATAAGAAATACATTGGGAAACAGAAAGAAACAACTCTAAGCAGTGTTTGATTTATAACATAGAACACAACTATAATATGATCATGGGAGATCCAGAAAGTATGAAACAATGCAGCTACATAAGAACATGAATCATTCCCTAAATATCATTATAAACGAGCCTCTTGCATAGGTACCTTAAGTATGTATGCAAACTCAATGAGAGCTGTGCGCTTGCTTTTGCTGGGTAATCTCATTTATAATTAGGTCCAATTAGAGACATACAAACTCTTATCTCATCAATACAAAGTAGTGGGGTAGGAAAGCTAAAAATAATGCCAATATATTTCACATCTGGCAACTAATGCGGCCCTTTGGTTTCAGATAGTACATGGGTAGACGAGTCTAAAAAACCTGGGACACAAATTTTCATGGTCCTCTAGCAGTTATGGTGGTTCATTTACCAGAAGTAATGTATTTAGTGTTAATGGTGGAAGTGTATACTTGATTCTGACCAAACTAAGCCTCCTAGAGCAAAATATACATCAGATATTTTGGATATGTATGAATTTCATGTGTTGTTAGGTTTTTTTAAGCAGATCCAAGTCCATGTTCTTCTGCATATTTTATTAATTTGCATTTGTGACTTGCCATGATCTAAAAAGGGAAAATATGGATAACAATAATACAAAATGAAATAAAGAACAGAAAGATTTCAGCTTATCTTACACTCCCTTTACAATCTGGAAACAGAAACTGTACTGTACTCAAAAAGGCAACTTGCTTTTTAATGGATTAATAATAGGCTAAACTTAAGATGTTTGCATGTGTGATCAATTATTAGCTAACTATTACTCAGTTTAAAAGGAATCATCTCTATCTAGCAGGCTTTTCAGTCAGAGTCATCTAAGATTCGTTATTGTGCAATGGTTCCCTATTTCAATATTGCCTTAACCACAGCTTGTGTAAACCCATGGCGCACACAAGATACAAATGTTAAAGTTAAAACTTTACTGCATGAGAAATAAAATTAGGGAATAGACTTCAGATAATAACAGTGTACTCATATATTGAAAAGCTTACATCAGGCTGCCTCAACCTCGGCCCTCCAGATGTTTTTGGCCTACAACTCCCATGATCCCTAGCTAGCAGGACCAGTGGTCAGGGATGATGGGGACTCTAGTCTCAAAACATCTGGAGGGCCGAGGTTGAGGAAGCCTGGCTTACATTGTCCAAGTAATAATGAACAAAACTTAAAACATAGTAAGATCAGTGGCACAGTAGAGCAGAAATGCAGGGAGCACAGTTCCAGGTCTATTTTCAGAGTAGGCGTGATTATGTCATCTGTCAGAGCACCAAGGTAACTGATGGACCCTTCTTGTCCTGACTAGTGAATGAGGTGATAACGAGGCTTTCAAGTTTTACTATTGTTTATGAAAGATTAGCATGGAGGAAGTCAGAGAATCGACAATCTTTTGGACACCGCAACAGACCCATTATCAGGATTAAAATCCTCTTGGGAAAAGGATTTAAATATCTGTATAGAAAACAAACAAACAAACAAATATTTCTATAGAGGACATAGACTGGAAAGCACTTTGGAATTCTAAGCTATACAAATCAGTTCCTTCACATGTGGGAGACTGTTCCTTAAACATTTTACAGTACACTGATGGCAATGCACACTCAGTCAACTACCTTGTATTACTTCTAGTACATCACTGAATTGCTGGAGAGGTTGTGAAAATATAGGAGCTTTTCCCCATCTCTGGTAGGAATACCCGCCCTTTTCTTTATTTTGAAATGAAATTGATTAGGAGGTATCAAATACTGTGTAAAAAACCATTCAAATTTCTCGTCAGTTATCCCTACTAAATATGGTTCATATGAAGGCATTTTGCCGAAAGGAACTGTTGACATGAATGCTGTCAGCTGCAAAGATCTCTATAGCACAATTATTTTTAAAAATATAACTCTATCTTCATGGTATAAAAATCTCTGGAATTTAGTTATTGCAGAAAAAATAATACACAAGTTATGGATCTCTAAGGGATCTCCATATAGTGATCCTTTCTTATCGGCACAGCTCAAAACAACAAGCTTTGGTAGCACAAACAAAAATCTGAGACACAAGAAAAAGGTTACTTCTTGTTTCTGTCAAGCACCATGGAAACTCATACACAGAAACCACAAAGTCCCTTTGACATATCCTTAAGCCATAGATTACACAGATGATCAAGCAATTTATGTCATAAATGGCCAATTATGCCCTTTTAATTGTCTTATATAGACAATTAGGTCAGAGTTTACCTCAAAGGATAAGAGGTCACAAATATGACATCATTCAACAACCAATAGAACATTTCCATCTACTAAAGTATCACCATTCTGCAGCAAAAGAATTTCCAAGGTAGACTGCTGCATGACACTGCTGAACTACAATTTATCAACAAATAAATTTAGGGCTCAATAGTAGCACAGGGAGGTCCACACTGGCAGAGTGATGCTGGCATCACTTCATGGGCACAAGACAATGGAGACTGCAGAGCTAGGCGGAGGAAAGGAACAGAGGTCCAATCCAAACACAGACAAGCACCAGCACAGCACAAAGGGGTTTGGATTGCTTTCTCTCTCTCTCTTTGGAAGTTCCTTCATTTCATCTGCCTCCATAGCTTAAATGTTTATTTTTTAAAAAAAATAATATTTATTAGTAGTTTCAGAATTATAGAAATATATAAAAATAAAATAAAAATAAAAATAAAAAACAACACAATAATACATAAAAAAGAGAAAAAAGAAAACGCAAAAACCAGTACAACAGTACAACAAAAAGATAAAAAGAAAAAAGGAAGACAGAAAAAAAAACCACAAATCCCAAATTACATATCTATAACTTCCATTTGCTTGTTTCATTGACCTCCTCACACCTCCCTTCTTGCATTCCAGTTCAACTAGTTATTTCAGCAAATTCTTTCCATCTTTCTCAATTTTTGTTACAAAATTTATCTTAACAATTTAACCTAATAATTAGCTCAACAAATCCTTTCCATCTTTCCCTATATTCTGTTATTCAAATTACCTTAGTTTATTTAACCTTATCTTACCCTAAAATACCTTAAAGCTTAAATCTTAGTTTTCAAATATACATAACTCCTAATATCATTTCTGCTAGAGTCATATAGTTTCATTCCAACATTTTCCCTAATATTCATTAATTTTAAGCTAATTCCCCAAATAGAAAGTTTTTATTTATAATTTTTTCCAATCTTCATCCAACGTCTCTTCTTCCTGGTCTCGGATCGTGTCAGTCCTTACTGTCTATTCCATCTAGTCCATCAACCTGGAAGCCTTATGTCCGAGGCCCTTAAGTCTCTTCCATGTCCCTTCTGCAGTTCTTCTTCTTCTTGTTTATACTTGCCCTTTTCCTTGTCTTTTGTTGGTCTCTTTCTTAATTTCTTTCCTTTCTCATTGAGGAGTAGGTCTCTGGGGAATTCCAACCCAAAATTGTCTCCATCTCTCTTCATCAAACCCGCCCATTCCCCACAGACCCACTCCCCACAATCATCGCTATAGTCCAAAAAGTATTTAAAAGCATATTTCCAGGTCTCTCCAAAGTTAGGAACCTCCTCAGCTCCAAACTCCCCCTGGCCCACTCCAACTTCAATCTTCAATGACAGCGGCTTATGCTCCTGTAGGGCCTCAGGTCTCTCCATTTGTATTATTTGAGGTGCAACCGCATCCTCCTCCATTATCTTCTGCACTTGCCCAGACAGTACAGGTTCATGAGTTGGTTCCTGAATGATTTCTGTATCAATGTTCCCTGTTTGTCCACAGTTATTAACCACAACAGTCATCAAATCCATTTTCTCATTCATCAAATCCATCTTCTCGTGCATCTGTTCCAGCAAGGCACTTGTCTTGCATAGAGCAAGCACCCAATCTTCCTCCCAGCTCATCTTTAGTCAAGGTCAGAAGAGACTGGTCCCACGATCTTAATCTCACAGCTGTTGAGTCCTCAAGTATACTGCAGCAACAATTTAACAAGCTCCCTCTAGAGGAGACAATTTCTATTTGTATCCATTATTTTTTTTTAAGGCAAATTCAACAAAGGAAAATTACTTTCATTTTTCAGATATTTTTCAGATATTTTGTTTCTTTAGAATGCAAAAGGCAACATTGGAATCAGTTTGTTTCTCTTCTTTAGCTATCTGTCAAAGTGTTCCATTCACAGTCGATGAACCTCTCCAACAATTTCTGTCTCTGACACCCCGTTCCCAGGTTAGAGACAGTGGAAACTTATCCTTCTTCACTCCTTCTCCTGCTAGGGTTGAACAAAGTCCCCCCCCCCTTTTCTCCTGCTTCCAAGGGGGTTTCAGTAATTCTGAATGAAGGAAATTTAGACTTTTTAACAGCTTTCCAGGCTTTAGCTTACAAAGTTTTTGCTTTAGTCTATATACAAAAAGCGGAAGGCGGACTTCCTGTTTTGAACCTTCCCGCTTCAGTGCCAATTGAGATATTTCTTAATCCAATTTTCCGTTTCTACTCACGGGTACTTGTTTTAAATCCAATTGTCCACAGGAAAAAGTCAGCGCTCTCCGGCAATGGCTGTGCGGCTTCACTCCGTGAAAATAGCAATCAGTTCGCAGCACCGTGCCACTCACCCCACTTCGCTCCGGCGCCCCAAAATGGGGTTCCCGGTGAGTAGGGGGGCGCTCCTGGTGCCCTGCCGAACCCCACGTTCCCAGGCTTCCTCCGCCTGGGATTTCTAGCGGGTCCCCACCTTCGCCGCGGTGGGAAGACCCAGTTTCCACGGAGCCCGTTCCTCCGGTCGGAGGAACTCCGCCATTCACCGATGGCGCTGACCCGGAAGTCCCCATAGCTTAAATGTTTAAAGAAGTTGGAATTATTTCTGCAAAAGCCTGAGAAAACAGATGCGGAAAAGCTGGATTAATAGGAACATACTGTAACATTCTTTAATTCCTGTATTGTTCATACTGCCTGTTTAACACCTACATTTGTACATGGTAGCTTTGGCGATATCCTGAGGTTGCAGATTTAAGTCCAGTGCAGTAAAACAGGGAAGAATCAGTCATCCCTAAAGCAGTGAGAGAAAGAGAGAGAGAGAAAGAGAGAGAGAGAGAACATTGCACACACACAATGCAAAAAAAGGTACAATATGACAACCAGTGTGTTGCAGTGATCAGAATGTGGGATTGGAACCTATAATGCTAGGATTCAAATCCCTCCTCAGTCATGAAACTCACCAGGTGAGCTTGGGACAGTCACTATGTCTTTGTTTAACCTTCCTCACAGGGTTGTTGTGACAATAAAAAATGAGCAAGGGGAAGGATCACATATGCTACTGTTAGCTCTTTGGAGGCAAGGTGGACTATTTATTCATTTCTTATTACATTTGTATCTCACCTTTCCTTCAAGGAGCTCAAGGTGGTGTCCATAGTACTCCTACTCTCCATTTTATTCTCTCTACAACTCTATGAGGTAGGTTAGGATGAGAGTGAGAACTGGCCTCAGATCACTCAGCGAGCTTCATGGGTGAGTGGCGATCTGAACCCTGGTCTCCCAGGACGACCGAGTCTGACACCCTAACCACTACACCACTCTGCCTCTGATAAACAAACATTTGTGAGTGTGACATAAGAAATATATTTGATTACTGAATCACAATATAATTTATGGTGAATTACATCTAACTATAATTTAAACAGTTTTAGTGAGTAAATACTCATAATGCAATGATGATGAGATATAATCTCACGTTCCAGCACATGCAAAGGATGTTCATCTCAATCTCAATCCAGATGTGCAGGACATAGATAACGGCATGCATTCTGACTCACATCAAAATATGTGACGCTATAAGGATTCGGGGGGGCATTACCATAAATTCATTCTAATTAAGTATGTTTATTATTCTAATTAAATATGAATTGTTATTATCACTTTTCTTTCTGTCCCACTTTTCCTTCATAGGACTCAGGAGAGTCCAACCTATTTTTATCCTCAAAACAGCCCTGTAAGGTAGGTCAAGCTCAAAGACAGTAACTGACCCAAGGTCATGCAGTAAGTTTCATGACTTATATGGCTTTGAATCCTTCTCTCCTTTATCCAGAACTCTATCTACTATACTACACTGCTTTCCTTATGAGAAAAGTTCTTATTAATGTCTATTACTTTTATTATATGACTAACAGCCTAATAATCTATCCTGCCTCTTGAATTATTTTTGATAGCATTTGATGAACGGGGCTGTTTTGCTCTAACAAGTCAGTATCAAACGTGCCTGGCTCTAACAATAACAAGTCTAGTCATCATCCTATAAGCCGTTCTACTGTAAAAATAAATACATGAATCCTCACTATAAATGGTAATGTATATGTTCACCTTTCAATGTATTGAGGCTTTAGAATGTAGTTGTGCAAGTCTGTAAACCCTGTAGATTCATGATTTGCAATTTGTATAATGACATCTCATTTTAAGCGTTATCCAGGCACTCAGTAATAGCTTCACCTGGCCAGGTTTAACCTTTCCTCTTGACTGCATACAAAGTCATTTCCTTTCTGATACATTTGCCGCCTTCATTTCTCATACCCTCCAGAAATAAAAAGGGATCAGGAAACCTCCATTGTGAATGCTGTGGCTGTGTCATAAGTCACATGTGTATGGTGCAATGTTCAAAGATTGCATGTGCTAATTTCACAACCACATCCATGTTACGAGTGTGTAACTGGACTCACATGTGCACAGCCAGCCCTCATGTATCTACTGTACACACTGCTGTGGGGTTTAGGATCTTTTGCTGGAGTGCTTTTATGGATGAGTGTTAACCCTTAATCTTATGCCCACAAGAAGCTCACACACAAAGAAATAAAGAAAGCTTGGTTTATTATATAAAACAGGAGTGACAGAATATATAAAAATGCTGCTTTAGACAGCAAGGTTACAGCCTAAGCAGGTAACGAGACAGTTTCACCCGGCGCATCGCCAGCTGGGGCCAAAGCAACTTCTTTCAACATCACGGTTTATTGTCAAACCGTGATGTTTTCAACATTGCAATGTTGAAAACCTAACATTGACCCCATACTTCTATTTTCTGTACTGGATTTATATTGCCATACCCTCCAACATTTCTCTGATGAAAATAGGGACATCCCATAACATAATGATAATTTTACTACAGTATTTATACCCCAGGCATTTCCGTGCACTGCTCTGGTTCGCCAGAAGCGGCTTAGTCATGCTGGCTACATGACCCGGAAGCTGTAAGCCGGCTCCCTCGGCCAGTAAAGCGAGATGAGTGCCGCAACCCCAGAGTCAGCCATGACTGGACCTAATGGTCAGGGGTCCCTTTACCTTTATTTATACCCCACACATCTTACTAGGTTGCCTCAGCCACTCTGGGTGGCTTCCAACATATATAAAAACATAAAAAGTTTTAAACATTAAAAAACCTTCCCTATATAGGATTGCCTTCAGACGGTTTGGGGGTCAGATAATTCCATAACCTCCAACATTTCTCCAATGAAAATAGGAACATCCTAAGGAAAAGCGGGACATTTCAGGATCAAATCAGAAACCTGGACGGCTTCTCTAAATCAGGGACATCCCTAGAAAATAGGGACACTTGGAGGGTTTGTATTGCTAGCTAATTCACTAGCTATGTTGGTTGGCATCCGTCTGTCTCGGGAAACAATGGAGGAATGCGCCTTTGAGGATGAAATCAAACCGTTGGAGAGTTATAGTGCCTGCTGTGGTTGTAGAAACTGATACGGGAGAGACATGTTTTGTTGCAGCTGGGACAGATGAAGGCATCCATTTGTGCTGCTGCAGATGCACCACGATGTTTCTTCTCTCTGCGCTCCTCCCAATGGTCATTCCTCCTCTGATCACTGCTGTGGATACACAACCTGACTGTCTGTCTCCAGGTGCTGCAGTTGTCTGCAAGGGATTCCCACATGGCGGAGTTGATGTTACCAGCTTTCATATCTTGTTTGCAGACATATTTGTAATGCAGTCTGCCAATGGGCCTAGTTCCTGAAGCCAGCTCCCCATAGAGTATGACCTTGGGGACCCTGCCTTCTTCCATTTTGTGGGCATGACTAAGCCAGCATAGACGTCGCTGAGACAGGAGTGGGAACATGCTGGGGATGTGGGTTTGGGAGAGCACATCTTGGTTTGAGACTGTGTCCTGCCATGTGATGCTCAAAGTCTTCCTGACACAGCACATGTGAAAGGCATTAAGACATCGCTCCTGGTGGTTGTAAGTTGCCCATGACTCACTTCCATAAAGTAGCATGCTCAACACGCAAGGCTGGTAGACCTTCATTTTGCAGAGATGAGCCAGGGTGAACAAACCCCTGTTGCTCCTTGAGTGGATGTACACACCATATTTAATCGAGCTGAAGGCATATGAGAGCACTAGGGAGAATATTCCAAAGAGTGTTGGGGTGAAAACACAGCCTTGGCTATACTGAATGGCAATTGTGATGAACATTTACGGTAAATGGGCCAAAGGACCAGGTTTGCACGCCAATACAGTAGTGTGCATTTCTTTGCTTCATTTTTAAAGGCTCGCTGTCCTGTGTTCACAACTGTTCTGGCTTCTATAATGGAACTCAGGCTGCCTTTAAAACATGCTGCCATTCTGTTACTTTAATCTTGAAAATATATAAAGAACTGGTCCTGGAGTCTTGCAACGAATCTTGTACTTACAGAGATCTCTTTCACTGCCAAGAAAAAAAATACAAATAAAAATCCCATATGCTACCATTCTGAGAGCTCTGACATGTGCAAGCGTGGCTGTGGTGCAGTAGCAGCATAAATGTACGCTTTATTTAGGTTACCATCGCCAGGATAGTCTTGTGGCACCTTAGAGTAATGAATTTATTATAGCATAAACTTTCACCGCAGTCCACCATTTCATCAGATGCCTAAGTGTGTATATACAACACGTACACAAACATGCAGTTTGAGACCGTAAAAGTGTGATCAGAAGGAAATCCTCACTGCCTGCTCTTTTTTGCATTTCATTTTCTTCTGACTTCACCCTTCTAAATTCCTTCCACTTGCTAATTCAGGATTATCACTTCATGCATCTAACGAAGTGGACTGTGGCTCACAAATTTATCAGGTTCTAAGTTGTGATATTTATGTGTGTGTGTATTATACAGTATGCAATATATCATACATACACCCTATTGGAATACCTAGCAACAGAACGCTTCATTATGAATATTACTTCGGTTGTGTGACTGCATTTCGGGTCAAGAAAATACGAAGAAAGCTGGGATGTGGCGGAAGGGGATGGGGGGAAATTTAAACAGATTAAAATACTGAACGGAAGTAAAAAATAAAAAAAAGGATTAACGCAAGTAGGAGGGGAAGCCCAAGGTGATTCATGTGGGAGAACCCCAGCCTGAGAAACGCAAAAGAAAAGGAAAAAATGGGCGGGGAATTTGCGAAGGTCATCCGTGCGCGTGCGCTGACAGAGACGAAGGCAGGGGAGGAAGTCACGTGCTTGTACGTGCTCCTCCTCAGGCGTCGCTTGCTCTCGGGGCGCCCCCTGGAGGGGCTCTGCCTGCAGCGCGCCGGGTCGCTTTCCTTCGCCCTGGAAGCAGCTGTTGTTCTGGCAGGCAGCTGGTGTCACATGTCGGAAAGTCCCTCGGCCGTGGAAATCCCCGCATCCACACTCTGTGTGTGTGTGTGTGTTTTGCTCCACATAGTAAAACAGCGGAAAGAAAGAACCACACGCAGACAGCAGGAGGCGGCGGCCAAAGCAAAAACAACAACTGTAGAAGCAGCAGCAGCAGGAGGAGGGTGAGGGGGCAGCTAACAAAGGCGCCTCTGGACCAGCCAGCACCCTCGGACCAGGCCAGCAGAGATCCCGAAGCTTCTTCGCGGGGAAAGGGACGGGATTCATGGCTCCCCCGAGCCGCATCTCTCCAAGTCCGGCTCGTTTGTGCTGAGAAGGATTTACTGGCGGAGTCATTCGAGGGTCACTGCCTCCCCCCAGCCCCCAGCTCGCCGAGTAAGTCATATGCCCTGGCTTGGGGTTTTTGCTTTGCAGTTTGTGGGGTTGCTCGCGGGGTCGGTGAGGACGACGAGCCAGCCGGGGGGGGGGTGTCTATTTTTGCTTGCATTTATGGAGATGCTGCTGGAGATATGCGCATCTCTCCCCCCCCCACCACCCCGATCCTCCGCCGTCCTGGGTTGCGTTTCTGTTTAATGCGAAATGTGTATAGCATCCCAAAGAGAAGGAGTTCTTAGTTAGTTTGCTCCAGTTAGGCGCAAACAGCGAGCAGGTTAGTTCTGAGGATGCTTCTGTAGTTTCGGTTATTGCTTGTGTGTTTCCATTTAAAAGAAAGAAAGAAATGCTGTAGAGTTTCCCGTGAAGACGAATTGATGGTTAAACTACTCTGTGAATTGTAGTTCTGTGAGGGGAATAGAGAGGGTCTCTTAACAACTCTCAGCTCCCTTAAACTACAGCTCCCAGAATTCTTTGGGGGAAACCATGACTGTTTAAAGTGGTATCCTAGCGCTTTCCTCACTCTGTAATCTACACAAGCTCAGAGGCTTTATTACTTTACCTATTCTAGAAGTTCAGTACTGAAAGCAACTTCTGGGCTTGAACCCTGGCACAAGTATGCCCTTGCAACAAGTGCTAGACGCATTCAAGTAATACTTGTTTGTTGCATAAAGTTACATAACTGCATGACAACTCATACAAACAGTTATGAAATATGTATTATTTCCCATTTTTAAAGCAAAGACTTGCATAAGCTATTTGGGCACTGCAGTATGTAAAACCATTTTCGAAGTAAAACCATTAGCTATTTAATTCTAATGATTATTTATTACACCACAAAAAAGGGACATTGAGGAAGAACATGCGCACCATTCATACTAATCCAGAAATTTTGTAACATCTCCAGGCTGTAATCCTGAACATAGTTAGAAGGGAATCGCCAAATTATTTGTGTTGGAAACATGCGTAAGATTGCATTTTCAGGATTTTTGTTTATTATTTTGGTTATTTAAAGCAATAACCAACCCCCCTCACTTGAACAAATTATTTTTTAGTGCCTCCCAACAGGGTTTACATTCATAAATCTCCAAACTTTAGATAAAGAGAGTGGAACTTTCAACCCAGATACAGACCGGACCCTGCACTAATTAGTCCTAGCTAATGAATGTTATGTTAATGGGTCCGCAGCCATGGGTGTTAGGGATGCCGTTTCACTTTCATATCAAGGACTGGACATGGAGCATAGTACAGTGGTACCTCGGGTTACAGACGCTTCAGGTTACAGACGCTTCAGGTTACAGACGCTTCATGTTACAGACTCCGCTAACCCAGAAATAGTACCTCAGGTTAAGAACTTTGCTTCAGGAAGAGAACAGAAATCGTGCAGTGGCGGCGCAGCGGCAGTGGGAGGCCCCATTAGCTAAAGTGGTGCTTCAGGTTAAGAACAGTTTCAGGAACAGACCTTCAGAACGAACTAAGTTCTTAACCCGAGGTACCACTGTACTTTTCCCTGTGTTTGAAAATGCTTGTAGATGGTCAGACATGGATTGTCCTGAGGAATGTATATTACCAGGACATAGATTATGAGACCATTTTTTCTCCTAGCTCACTGTTGTCTATGTGTGCTGTTCTACATTAACTGGCAGCTTCTCTTCAGGGTTTCAGCCAGTTTTCCCAGCCTTGCCTGGAGATGCCAATCCCTATGTGGGACTTCTTGCATGCAAAACATGTGCTGTGCCATTGACATCCAGCTGTTTCCAGGAGTGCCCCAAGAAATTTGCAAGACATGGGACTTGTAGTCACATCTGAATATTCCAACATTACAAAGATATGCATTCACTTTCCTACACACCCTTAAACTGCCATCCAAGACACACTTATCTGAACATAAGTCACATTGATATCAGTGGAACTTGCTTCCAGATAAACTTGTATGGAACCAGACTGCAAGATATAAAGTTAGAACTGAAAAGCAGTCTCCTCCTGCATGATGCCAATGAGAAAATAATATCCAAATAATGGGGTCAATACCTTGTCTGTAATTTCTGTGGCTACCTTGAGTAATTTTATACATCTCTATCATGCCCCTCTTACTCACCTTTTCTCTGTACAGTACTAACCCCCCCCCCCAATGTAGGCATTTAGGACTTTGTCCATGAGTATAATGCTTGTGGCTAGAACTGTAGACATTTGAGACAGTTCAGTGCAAGGATGTAACAGCGTGGGCATATCTTTCAGGATGTGGGATAAGATTGGCTGGTGAGTGAGGGATATGGCAACAATCTGGTTGCAGCATATGACACCCCATTGATCTCCAAGTTTGATTCAGCTGATCTGACTATGTGAAAAATGAACACAGTGTTTTAGCTGCAGTTCATTCATTTTCAGCTTTGTATTCTTGCTATAAAAAAACGCACCTAGACATTCATGTTGTTGTGCCCATAACCTAGGCTTAAGGTGCCGTTTAGCTTCTAGCTTTCATATCTCGGTTTCTAACACTGCTTTCAGACAATCTTAAGGTCCATTGTAGGAGTCAGCAGAAAAAGATATAATTCTCTAGTGGACTCGCTTAATAAAAACCATTGCGAGCCTCTGCAGTAAATGCTTTTTTGTTTGTACACTGTGGACCCTAGCAATGAAATATTGACCGGTGCTTCAAAAATTGGACGTGCTTCCTTTCAAAATGACAGCGGCCCTTTGCACGTTTATTGTACCTGCTTGTACCTGCAAGGTGTTTTTTTCCCCAGCATCTGCATAATGTTGCCGTTATCAAAATTCCATTCCATAAAATTCAGATTAAATGGGGAAATAATGTAGGGTGGTGTTTTGATGAGGATAATGTTGTGGGGACAGTGCACAAAGCCTCCTTTTATGAGCTGCACAGTAAACGGCCCAGCTGTATAACATTTTGTCTGCTTTACTTGCCCACATTACTTTGTGGGCATCATGACCTGTGAGGAATAGAATTGGATTGTTGTTTTATGGCTTCCGAAGGCTCCAGTCCTATGCAGCTTTTGTTTGGTATATTGGTTTCTTCCATGGAACTGTCTTCCGCAGAGTTACTGGGCAGCCTGACCAGGCACAGTCTTGCTTAAACTGGCTTTTGCAGTCCTGGCTTTTAATCCAGTGGACACATTTGCTAATGTAGGAGCGGGAGAGGCCATTTTAGCTAATTCCTCTTTCCCACTTTCATCGCCGCCGCCACCAAATTTTGTTCCAAAGAGTTGAGAGACCGTGTCTGGAAGGTGGTATGGGAAGTTGCAGAGGGAAGGGAGGCTCAGGAAAAACGGTCACCCCTCTTCTTAAATCAGAGCCATCCACTAGGAACAAAAGCTTCTCTGCTTGTGGGATGCTATTATTGTAGTCCAACTTCTTTGCAGCTTGATTTGGTTTTTAAGTTGTTGTTATCATTGTAGTAGTTCTTATAGTCACGGTTTTAAAACATTCCTATTAGTGAGATTTCTGTAGACAAGTTGGTGAAACATAAGTTGGTAAAATTGGCTGAGAGTCTGAGGGTAAGTCTCTGGAAGGAAGTCTCATTGAAATCAGTGGACTTACTCCTCAGTAAACATGTGCAGGATAACCCTCATTGTTGGATAACTTCAAAATAGGCAGACGTGCTCCAATCCATAGCACATGTTGCACTAAGGAGAACAGCTGTTGGCAGAATAGGAATGTTAATTACGTAGTGTTCTAATTGAGCTTAACAAATTGGATAGTCTATTATTACTTAACATTGGAAACAACCAGTGCTTGTCCTAAGCATCCCTTACTGATGTCATCATCCTTTACACATACAAACTTTACCAGGGACACCACTGACTCAAAATTGTCCTTTTGTGTTAAGTACTTGCAGGATCACATCTTTCATTTGAACATGTTAACTGCATACACATCTGTTCACTTATACAGTTCAAAATGCATAGAGAAATGTAATGTGTGTTTGTAGCTCAGGGAGTCTAAATGTGCATAGGATTCCTGGACAAAAAGTATTGTGGGAAGGGAACTAGCACCGGCATTATAGTTATGGGGCAGGATGTGGATTTGATCATACTTACAGTAGGCCCCCTAAAATCAGTGGTTAGTCTGCTGTCAGTGGGTTTACTCTTAAGTATGATTGAATCTGGATCAAACCCAAGCTATTGATTACTGATGCTTTTCCTATTTTTTTATTAATAGCTTATTGACCACATTCATTCAGAAGAAAGTCACATTTATCTTATTCCCTTCCAAGTGACTTTGGATTAGTAGTTTGCACAGTTCTTAACTATTTTTCCATTTTAGGGCAGGTACTGTCCATCTTCAGCTGCCTTCCATCCCATTATCCTTAATACCTTGTTTTGAAATACATGCTTTTCTTTAAAGTAAAAAAAGCAACTTTTCACCATTTCTGAGTAATGCTGTCCTGAGTTGGTGGTGATGGTGGTGTGTGTGTGTGTGTGTGTTAGGCTGTATATCTGGGTCCCTTCTAGTTCCTTGATCCAGGAGGATGAAAATCCTGGAATAGCCAGCTTCTTGATGAGTTAATAGCTCCCTAAGTATGGGTCCTTAGGGTAACAAAGTGGTTTTATGCCAGAGGGCAAAAGAGTGGGTTCCCCTCCCTCGCCTAGCTGTTGGTGAGAAGGACAAGGGCCAGAGGTATGTGTGAGAGAACAGAGCTAGAAGCAGGCTGCAGGCAGAAACTTGGGGGGTGGGGAAAGGTGCCTCCTTTCTATTAGATCCAAGGCTGTGGCTATGGAAGAAGAAAGACCTTCAGGGGTGTTAAGGCTGTGAACCCCTCCACTGTAGGCTTAGTTTGTATTTATGTGTAATAAACCATATATAATAAATACACCACAGTCTCCACTGTCCCTCATTCCAAGGAAATGGAAGCCTGGATAAGCACTTGGAACCCATGGAATCTCACACTGCTCGGAGATTGGGATGGTGTGCAACAATACATTTTGCTAAGTTTTTAGTAGCAAAAATGCCTTTGTTGCTGTTAAGCTTTGCAGGCTTGGAGAATAAATAAATAAATAAAAGTTCCAAAACCTAGAGAAAGAGGAGAAATAAGGGAGGCAGTGAAAACACTACCTTTTAGGTGCATTATTTGTTGTGCAGTCTTGAGTGCTACTGCTGAGAGCAAATGCAAGGCCAATTAAAATGCGACGTCTCACTGTTCCTTTATCATTGGCCTATTAGACTAAATAAGTAGCCTAAACAAGGAACCTGCTTATTTATTTAAAATATTTCTTAACTACCTTTCATTAGAAGATTCCTGGGCAATGTGGATAAATGTGAATTAGAATTATTCACATGTCATATGAAAACAGTATTTTAAAAAAACAACCACAGAGAGGACAAAATAGAAGACAGGTTAAAAACAAAAAACTGAGGAACAAAGAAGACAGTTTTGACTAAAATAATCCATATTGCCTATGCAGTGCTCCAGAAATGTAGGACTGAACATTTTTTAAGGTTATTTGAACCAGTTACTCAAATACTAGGTGGGTATTTTCCTACTTCTCTAAACTATGACATGTAATTATCCATGTCGTCTAAATAAGTTCGTTGTGTGTGGGGTTTCATGCTGTATATTGTAAAGACTGTTCAAGAAACCAACCTATGCCATGTGCTACAAGCAAAGCTCCCCCACTCCCCGAAAAAAATCCAGCAGAAAAAACCCAGAGGCTCTAGTTAGTTTGATCATAAGGGGAATATGGAATGGAGAAACAGACAGGGGGGATTCTGAGCTAAGAGGAAATTCTGCTGTCATCTCAATAGATTTACAGCTGAGTAATCCAGGCTCTCCAGTTCTGCGCCATTGGGCACACCGCAGTTCCCTAGCTCTAGAATTAACATAGGGTACTCCTCCGATGCAGATTTCATTTTCAGTAGCAGGTGCCTGTTTGCTTAGAATTTCTGATAAATCAGTCGTAAATGTGAGTGGTCATTTTAAGACATCCATACCAAAGAAGCTTCTCATTGTTGCTGATGCACTTGTGTCACAGAAGCTATTGAGGCTGAACTTCCTGTTTTAATGTAATTTATGAAAAAGGTCTGTGTTTTGTGCCGAATTTGGGGTAGGGAGAGGAAGGAGGATTTAATGATAATTTTTTTAAAAACCCTTCTTTTACTAGTGTTCTTTCGTCTTTTAGGTTTCTTCTTGCAAAATGGCTGGCTCGCAAATCATTCCTCAAGCTTTATATTTGAGCAACATGCTGAAAGCTGTGAAGATAAGGGAGAGAATGCCCGAAGACCTTGTCAAGTGCACCAATGGAATAATCCAGCATTTTAAGACTATGCATAGATACACCATAGAGATGTTCAGAATGTGTCAATTTTGCCTACAGTTCCAGGAGATTCTTCAAAAGGCCCTTATTGACCAAGCAACTCAAACCTCACTAGAACGTCAGAAGAAACTGAACTGGTGTCGAGAAGTTAAAAAACTGGTGCCCCTGAAGACAAATGGTAAGCCGGGCTTATTTTCTCCTTGTTCAGGCACGACAGAAATAGCATCTGCTTCATTTGTGGACCTTGAGTGTGTTTAGTTCAAATTGCTTTTAAAATTAAATTACGAAGGGGCTGTTTTTCTCTTCTTTCAAGTGAAATGGTTGCCTAATGTCAAACTAGGGCATAGATGTATATTACGTTAACTTCATGGACTTATGTACTGTTGCCCTAAAGAACCTTCTTGGCTCACAGGCAGCACTTGCATACTTTCTGAACAATGCTGCCGAATGTGAACAAAAAGACACTGATCTGGATTGTATATATTTCAGTGAAACATACAAAGAGGATATACAAACGACTGGAACATCCTCTTTTTGTGTTTCCTCCACTTGTTATTTATGACACTTCCTTTTATCCTCCAGAGTTGCTCTCATTGAACCAGGAACTGGAATCAATTGGTTCTTAGTATTACTTTTTATCCATGCAACTATTAGATGTATATCAGGTTACGTATTTGTGAAACCCTTCTTCCAAGTTACTCAGGACATGGTGCATGCTGCACAATTCATTTTGGGTTTTTTTGTTTTTTTAAAAATAATATTTATTATAGTTTCACAAAGAAAGAATCACATTAATAAAAAAGAAAAATTTAAGAATAAAAAGAAAAATACACAATACAAAATACAAAAGGAAAAAAGAAAAAACAAAGTAAAAAGAAAAAACAGTTTAAAAGAATTCCGTCTTTTCATGACTTCTTTTACATTTACTTGTTTCCTGGACCGCCTCATACCTCCCTCTTTTGTATTCCAATTCAGTTTGTTAATCCAGCAATTTCTTTCCCTCTTTTTTAATCCCAATCCTTAATCTTAATATATTATAACATTAAGTTTTAACCTATTAAAAACCAATTTTTCCATTCTTTTAACCATTTTAATCCTAATCCTTAATCTTGATATATTTATAACTTTAAAGCCTGTACAGCTAGAAGCCACTTAACTTCAATCCAACATCACTCTAACATTCATTAATTTTACAATATTTCTGTAAATAATCTTTAAATTTCTTCCAATCTTCTTCCACCGACTCTTCTCCCTGGTCACGGATTCTGCCAGTCATTTCCGCCAATTCCATGTAGTCCATCATTTTCATCTGCCATTCCTCCAGTGTGGGTAGCTCTTGTGTCTTCCAATACTTTGCGATGAGTATTCTTGCTGCTGTTGTAGCATAGTGCTACACAATTCATTTTGGAGGGTTTTAAAAACTATATATTTGGGGCCTAATTTCAGAAAATTTAAATTTTCAAGTCAGTTTGAGAGCCAGTGAGTGGCCCACCCACTCTTTATCAATTTAAAGGTAACTTTAAATTACTCCACATGAAACAAGTATTGTTTGATACACATTCACACAGTTGGGTCACTATATTGTTGCCTTGTGCTTGTGTGGAGTAAATTGCCATTTTTGTATGGTGAGCCACTCCATGCAAACCATTGGCCTTGTGATATAAGAATGCAAATATTCACGTATGTCTGTATTTGTTAAGATATCCTGATTTCAGTTATCTTGAAGGCTTTAAAGGCAGGGTATAAATTTTCAACACAATTAAAGAGACAGTGAAACCAGTTTCATGTGCCCTATGAATGTGGCCTTCAAGGCATGCAGTGCATTGGGTCATTACATGCTTCTTGCCCAATCAGGTATTAAATTAATTCTTGGCTTGATGGCGAAGACTCTGACTCCAGAATCCTGAATAGTGCCTTCTTTATACCTGTCCTGATAGGACTTCCATATAATAATTACAGATCAGGGCACTGAGAAATCTCTTCACTGGTGGTGCCCACCACTTCAGTGGGTTCCAAGCTCATTTCTAAACTTGGGCCCTGTTTCCAACGTAATAAATAAATCCAATGTGATGTCTGAAGCAGCAATTAGCACAACTCTGTGGGAAGAAACGAGTTAGGTGAACATCTGGAATGCCCAAGCACAAGTTGCTGCTTCAGATATGACATCAGTAGCGTGGAAAGAGGATGTACGTCGCTCACACATCCCCTTTTTGACACTTCCTGCAATGTCTAGAGCCACCAACAGCTTTCATAACTTTTTACATCTCCTGAATTCTCCTCATTGTACAAGTTGTTCTGTCTAAATTAATATGAGCTGAATGTTGCTGGGCAAGAGGAAGTGGTGTAATGAGGTGTCCTCTCAAGAGCAGTTTTGCTCCCTCCTACCTGGACAGTGCAGTGCGGCAGCAAGGTCAGGCTATGCAGGTGCACCAGCAGAGCCAGTCTAGTGCTTCTGTTGCTGTATGCACAGAGCCCCTACCTCACCCCTGTGCCATCCAGGTAAGCAGCAGCAACACAACCATACGGAGGGCAGCTCCACAGCACCTCCTGTTACGAGGACTAAAATAAAACTTAACACACATACCCCCAGAAGATGAGAGTGATAACATCTGTGCATTCTTTTTATTTATTTGTCAGATTTATAAACCATCCTTCAGTACACAGTAATCCCTGGGTAGTTTTCAACATATACGATATCTACATCATAAAATACAAATATTTGATATGCTTCATTGGGAGAAATGGTAGGATAGAAATTTAGTTAGATAATTATAGTACAGTTACTATAAAATCATATCAAGTGAAAGGGCAGAGCAGCAACTCAAGACCTTGAGACCAGTTAAAATCAAAACCGCTCAGTTCATTCAAAAGCTTAAGAGAGTAAGTGTTAGGTCTCAAATGGTGGATCAGGACCTCTCACTGGACTGTGGGAGCTTTAGGAGTGGGTCACTTGGGGCCCTTCCAGACTATTGCCGTTTTTGGGATTCCGTCACATCCCAGCAAATCCAGGTTGTGCAATTCAAGCTGTTTGGAGATCTTGCACAACAAACCCACTTCCCCAAAAGACTGAACTTTATGATAAGGAAAGTGACAGGAAAATGCACTGGAACATGTAGGGCGACACTTGCTTTGACGCAGTGTCTTCTAGTCTCCCCACAAATAAATCAGAGCGATTGGTCATCTGCTTCCATATTGGAATTGTTTTTAGATAATTTAATTGTTTTATTATTCCTGTGTTTGCCACGTGTGATGCTTTGTGAAGAAGGGTGGGATATAAATTTACTCATTTATTAAATGAATAATTTTATTGAATGTCATCTAATCTTTGTCAAATACATCAGGATGAATGCTGGGTAAACAGGTAGTCTGCAAGCACCCATGTTGTCCCTATGGATGCTTCACTTGCATCCAAAGAAAGGCAAACATCTTTGCATGGGCTGTCTTATTTATTTAAAAGTAGACAAGTTGCTGTTCTATACTGGTATTCCTCTACTTTCCCTTTCTGAGAGATCCTTTCATTCGAGCCCTGAAACAGAGTTTCAGGTTTCTGAGCACGTGTTAAAACCTGGACTACACTTCCTTATCTCTAATGTGTATATTCTGTTCTGATCGTGTGAACTATTGAACTATTGCATTTTCTTTAAGTGGCCTGGCTTGCACAGCGCAGTAAGCCAAACTGTGGCTTCTGCAATGTGTTGGGTAGTTTCGCTCTTTCTGACTTGTGGGTAATCTCTCTTTTCCTTCATGAGCTGTAGCCAAGCCAATAAAAGGACCAGAGAGGAGCAGAGCTGCTGTCACCTTCTCCCCAGGAGCCCACACATCCACACGCAATGTGTGAACACAGCCAGTGTGTTAAACTACACACTTACTAGATGAGAGTGTAACAGTAGTAAAAGATCTTCTACTTTGCATCACTTCAAAGTAGAGAAATAGAGAGAAGGACTTGGGTTTTGTTTTTTTAAAACCCAGCTACTGGATTTTTAAGAATGGATCCTGGAAAGCACAGACCCATATGGGTTTGTTACTTTGTCAGGGGGTTGGGGAACAGTTCCAGTCCCAACCTTTTCCCCACCTCCACCACAAGACTTAAAGGAACGCCCTATTCAGCCCCTCCCCCAAGAATAAAGAAGGAAATTTGCAAAATAAAACAACCTGATCCATCTCCTTTGCACATGCATGCATCTTTGTGAGCATGGAATGGATCTTGACAGGCGTTCTGCTGAGTCCTGTCCCTCCTGTGCTTCCCATCAGAAGCCTAGATGAAACCTCACTTGACTGACAGTGGGTGGGCATATTACACAGAAGGCCTTTAGCTAAGGGCTCTGTAGAATGATCTAGACGGGACCCCTGTCATGCCCACAAAGGGTTCTCTCCACATGGAGGAGGTGGTTTGTGCCCTAAATAAATAGTAAAATAACTAATAAGAAAAGAAACAGCAGTTTCATCGTAGCCAATAGCATTGCATTTGGTCGTTCTTACAGTCATAGATCCATTTGTAGGGGGTGTAGCTCTCTGCCCATTTTGAGACCCAAGAAATAAATGCATCTGTTATTTCATCACAAATAATTTTAGCAAAAGTGTAGAAAGATTGCATACAGTTCTGGGAATTTGATTTCAAACATGACGTGCATTTGAGGATTGTATTTTTAACGTAAAAGATTGGAGGAAACATCTCATTTTAAAAAGATTCCAACATCTACTGACTAGCAATTTCGCTTCTCTAATGAATAGGCATTCCAACTTACCCTAGCCACGCCTACTTGGAAAGTCCACTGTGTACTTCACAGTTCAAATGTCTCTTCATCGGAACAAGAAGTACAATAGCTGTTACTCAACTACTAGTCAAATAGCTTAACACTGGGGAATTCCAAATGCTTAGGGAATTTTGAACTGGCGTTTCAGTGTGCAGAACTGAAAGCAAGCGCACACAAGGAAAAAAACCCTCTTATCTTTGCTCTAGATTTTGCAAAGGGAAATTCTTTACAGGATGTAATAATTGTCCTACTTGTATGCCATATTTTTTTATACTTGGTAAAGCCAGAATCAGCCTTGCAAGCATTTTTTTTGACCCTTGCATTTAATATATAGGTTTTTTTTGTTTTAAATATAATTATGCAAAGACAAGCCAGCTTTCTGAGTTGTGTTAGATAATTCTGTTTAAAGCAAAAAAAGAAAAGAGTAGTATTAAGTGAGGACCTACCCCTTTATAAGAAATGCTTCTGTTTTAGCACTCGGGTGGGCAGAGGGTGTATATGCCACATAGCTCTGTCCTGCAACCCCAAAGCTATCCTGCTTCCCTCGCCAGGGTTTAAATAATATTGCCAGTCAGGTTGAAGGAGCTGCCAGTCTGGTTGGCTTCTGTACATGGAATGGGGTGAGATGTCAGGTTATATCCAACTATGTTTCTCTCAGAGCAGACCCATCGAAATTAATACAAACAAGGTAGTCATGCCGATTTATTTCAGTGGTTCTACTCTGAGATGGACTAACATTTGGATACAACTCACCATCTTGTCTTTTTCCTTTTGTCTGGCAGCAGAATACATTGGGACTGGTCTTGATTTTGGTAGAGTGGAGGAAAGGATCCTGCTCTAACAAACAAACAAAAAAGAGCACTAGTCAGGACCATGAGACAGGGATTTGGTTGGGGTACTGTTTACTTAGGCCTTTGGTGCCATTTTTCAAATGGAATGGAACGTTTGTGTAACCACAACAAAAACAAGTGTCTCTTTAAAAACCAGGCAAAGGATCCCTTCTGTTGCTTGACACTCCCATCCTTCTCCTGACATTCTTCTGTCCCAAAACAGTCACAAATCTGTCGCTGCTGCTTTTAGTGGAAGAGTTTGTCTTCCCAACAATTTGATTTCAGATACAGTGGTACCTCTGGATACGAACAGGATCCGTTCCGGAGCCCCGTTCGCATCCAGAAGCGAACGCAACCCGCGACTGCTCGTCTGCGCATGCTCAGGTCGCGATTAGCCACCTCCGTGCATGACATGACGTCATTTTGACTGTCTGCACATGCGCAAGCGGCGAAACCCAGAAGTAATGTGTTCCGTTACTTCCGGGTCGCTGCAGAGCGCAACCCGAAAGCGCTCAACCTGAAGCACATTTAACCCGAGGTATGACTGTATTTGTGGTTTTTTGGTGGGGAGAAAGTAGAACTGCAAGGGTAAAATGGTTCTCCCCACTGCAACCCCTTTAAGGGAGGCAGTCTGCAGCACAATCCCCACCTTTCCTAGTCAATTGGCTGCAGGATCCATCCCCTTTTCTGGGCCAAGAATGAAAGGAAGGGATACTGATTTTTCAACAAAAGTCATTTCCTCCCTCCGCCCAAGAGTGCAAAGTTTAAAGCCCTGTGCTTTACTGTAGTTCCTCTCTCTAAAGCAGAGGTTTTCAACCTTTTTGAGTCCACAGCTCCCTTGACCAACTACATTCTTTCTGCGGCACCCCTGTGGGATTCAGGAGCCCAGTTATGTCACCCCTTGTCTGCAGAGCTGGCAGCCTCTCACCCTTTTTCAAACACCCTCCCTTGTGGAATGTTCTCTCAGTCTCCTCTCCTCTCCCCTCTTCTTGGGAGCCCTCCGGGCAGCGACTGCCACCGCCCCTGCCCCAGAGAGACGTGTCTCCTCACACTGCCCCCCAGGGGCCTGGGAAGAAGATGCCCCCTGCCTTAGTGGCCCAATGGAGGCTGGCTAAAGGTGAACTTGAGGCCAGCACCTTACCTTGGGAGGCAGCAGCAGGAGCAGTGGGCACTGCCAGACCTGGATGGCGGAAAGGCTCCCCTTCAACACTGGGCACTCAGCTCCCAGGCAGGCCTTGCACACACAGCAAGCACAAGAAAGGCCAGCTCAGTGCCTGCCTGCCCAGCCTTCCACTTGTCCATCCATTCCCAACAGCAAGGGCTTGTGGATCAGCTGGCTGGGCTTCCTCACCCACTTGCTTCCTTGCTCCGAGGCCGCCTCAGCTCTCGGCAACCAGACCCTCTTGCCAGCCCCAGATACACCAGGAGCTTGTAGCCAGGGCTGCTGCAACAAACAGCTCTGCAAGCCTTTGGGAGGCAGAAACACAAGGGAGGGAGGGAAGGAAGGAAAGAGGGACAGAGGCCAGTGTTGCCTGTGGCACCCTTGGCCATCATTCAAGGCATCCCAGGGTGCCACGGCACCCTGGTTGAAAACCACTGCTCTATAGCAATCCCGGCAACTTTTTCCTCAATGAGAGCATTCTGCCACAAAGCCCATGTCTGGAAACAATTGGCTGGAGTGACCTGTGCCTAGAAAGTTCACACAGTGCTGCATGCATTGCTATATTTTTGTGAGAATTCTCCATGAGTGCCAGAAACTTGTATGTTTGACACAACCCGACTAACCACATTCATAGTAAAACAATTTCTTATAAATCCACTTTCTCTTTTGCTTCTCAATTTTCAGTAGCTTGTTTAGGAAGGAAAAGGCTGTGCCCATAAAATCTAGTGCTGATAGTGTTGACTAATGTCATCTCTGAACACTTTATAGAGAATGGTGCCTTTTCAGCAAAAAATAAAGTAAAATCAGCAATTGAATTGAGTATTTTCAGTCTGTACTTCCCCTTAAACCAGTGTAAACGGCAATTTACTGCCTGGTGTTCTCTGGTCCATGGGGTCACGAAGAGTCGGACACGACTAAACGACTAAACAACAACAAACGGCAGTTGGAATAGGGAAATCTCCTCTAGCTGTATCATTAATTAAATGGACTTTCTTAAGCTTTGTAGTTATAGTCAAAGCTCTAATATCCTTTCACCCTTGAATACTAGCTATTGGGAAGTGGTTGAAAATTAAACTCATAGAGTGTGATCCACATGCACAAATGGGAACTGTGCACTGAAAGTGGCGTGAGTTTATTTTTATACTGACATTTTTATAGGATGAATAGTTTCATCTGCGTTTTATATTCAGTCACTTCTCCATTGAGGGGCAGATTGTCAACTTTTTCATTCATACCAGCTGTCCACACTATATAAACACTATTTTGACGCTCTCTCTGTGTTTTAAGGATCAAAACTGTTCTGCCAACCTGCACAGAATTCCTTCAGCACCAACAAGATTTCTGTGCAGAAAGGCAGAACATTGGATCTGTTCTTGTTTTCTACATGTAGCATAATCCCATTGGAGTCGCACATTCAGAATTATCCCCCCCCCCTCTCTCTCTCTCTCTCTCTCTCACACACACACACACACACACACACAATGTCTACCATACTTGGTGGGGGAATGCTGGATTAGAAAAATACAGCTATTTCTCAGTGTTCACTTACTCAGACCGGGAGCAGGAGAACAGACTACCCCATACTCCCAAAATTCAGAGGATACTAAGCCAAAGTAAAAATAGATTGCTTGAGGGGAGATTTCTAAGAAACGTTAATTGCTTCTCCAAAGCATTACTGGTTCGTGCAGAACCAGATATTTTATTTTTAACGAACTTGAAATATGTATGCTGTCCATTATGTTTTGGACTTTTATTTTTATTTATTTATTTATTTATTTATTTATGTTTGTGTGTATGAAACAACTAACCCATTTCATTTCTCTGTAGGAGATGGGAATTGCCTGATGCATGCTGCATCCCAGTACATGTGGGGCGTCCAAGATGTCGACCTAGTCCTGAGAAAAACGTTGTTTAGTGCACTCAGGGAAGTGGACACACGCAACTTTAAACTGCGTTGGCAACGAGAAACACTGAAATCGCAGGAATTTGTGGCAACAGGACTCTGCTATGACACCAGGGTATGTTGGACTGATTTATATAGCGAATAACGTTTCAAACCTTGGTATGGTTGGGCGGATCGTGACTTCCTGTGTATAATTACACAGGATGGGAGGCAATTATGGCAGTGAGCTTAAGAAAGTAAAATTGCAGAGCTGCCAACTAGTTAAAACATTTTAGTCCATTAAGTTTACTGGATTTCCCAATTTATTAACAAAGCGTTTCACTACTGTGGAGTTTCCAACTCAAGTAACCTCCTCAGAGATGGGTTATTTCCATGGACCACCCACATCTCCAAAAGTTGGCATGTCTCTGCTCTTCCTGTTATGAAGAGGCACTGCTACACCCACCCAAACAAAACAAAAAACACCCATCCTGCTTTTTAGAAACATACAGCTAGACATAGACTTCCCATCCAAGAATCTACATCATGTGGGGGGCCTCTGCTCTTGCTTCTTTCTACAAGAACCTGCTGGTTGAAAGGATAAATTATCCTCTCTATTAGTTGCTAGCCCAAGTAGTCTATAAACTAGTCTTCTCAAACCTGGAAACAGCCAATACTAGCTTCACATGTTAAGATGAAACTGCCTCTTTACACTGCCGTCACAGCTGCTTATTTGGATGTGGTGGTGGTAAGAGTGGAGTGGTGCAACACAGTTGCATTGGTGCCTCCAACTCACAGAAGTATCGAGAAAATAAGATTCAAGCAACTGCGTTGTTTCACAGTCTTCAAGTTGCAGGCTTGCAAGTAACCACTTGCCTGCTAGGCAAGAGAGCATTTGTAAATCAGAAGAGAGAATGCAACATCAAGTCAACTGCAGCCGTGCCCTTAATTAGTTAGTGTTTCAGGTTCTGTACCTCTGGAATGCATATCGTATGAATTAACTTTCTCAGTATTCGGATAAGGAAAAATAATCTGCATGCAAGGCCTCCCAACTTGCATGATATTAACCCAAAGCTAAATAGATGTATTTTCTTTTTCTCCATTAGAATTGGGAGGACGAATGGGAGAACCTCATCAAAATGGCATCTGCAGAAACATCAGTCGCCCACAGAGGCCTTCAGTATAACTCATTGGAAGAAATCCACATATTTGTCCTTGTTAACATCCTACGGCGCCCAATCATAGTTGTCGCAGGTAGGAATGTGTCTTTTGCTTTCGAAGTACTGTTTGCAGTGGGCGATCCAATGTTAGTGTTGAACACCCATGCTTCTATGAAGAGCATTCAGAAGGTTTTCAGTGTCATGGAAGTGGAGGTGGGCAACCAATAACATGAAGAGCACCTCTGTTCGTGGCGATTGTTTCCTGTAAATTTCTACATTTCTACAAATTATCCTCTGAAAGAGACAATTTACCACCGACCCCGGGTTAACAGTATTTACAACTTAAGAAAACACAAACACTGTTTATGACACAAAAAGTGTTGGTGACCTCACTTATGAAAGCGATTTAGGGTTTGGGTTTATTTGTTTTTACATCAGCTTCAATATTTCCTCACAATGAGTTATTGATATTCTTCTGATAGTTTGGAAATTAAAATGGAAATGTTTCCCTTGCTCTGTTGCTGACAAGAGTCCTGTTTAACTAAACCTTGCTTTTCTTTTCCTGAAACAGATAAAATGCTTAGAAGCTTGCAGTCAGGTTCAAGCTTCTCCCCTTTGAATGTTGGCGGAATTTACTTGCCTCTCCACTGGCCAGCAGAAGAGTGTTATCGATACCCCATCATCCTGGCCTATGACAGTATGCATTTCACCCCTCTGGTTGTTCTGAAAGAGAGTGGCCCAGGTAGGTCTCAGACATTACCGCTATATTGTGTTCTGCGCTGGTGTTTCCCTGTTTCTTCTCTTCAAACCAACAGCAAATCCATTTTGATCTCTCTCATCCTGTTATACATCAGATGCAGTCTGGGAGTCACTCTTGCTCTCCAGACCACCCCTCTGGGAATTGCTTCTTCTTCTGCAGTGTGTGTGTGTGTGTGTGTGTGTGAGAGAGAGAGAGAGAGAGAGAGAGAGAGAGAGAGCATGCAGTGCAATTCTGCAGACTGTCCACTACAGTGGTACCTTGGCTGTCGAACTTAATCCGTTCTGGGAGTCCGTTCAACCCCTGGAACCGTTCAAAAACCAAGGCAGGGCTTCTGATTGGCTGCAGGAGCTTCCTGCACTCATTCGGAAACCACAGAAGCCACGTCGGAAGTTCGCAAACCGGAACGCTTACTTCCGGGTTTGCGGCTTTCGGGAGCTGATTTGTTCAGGAGCCGAGCCATTCGACAACCAAGGTACCACTGTATTGGCATACAGTCCCCAAAAGATTACCCCCAAGGTAATGCAGCCTTCAACGGGGGGTGGGGATTATCTACTCCTTTTGTATAGGAAATACTTCGTTTGGGCAATTTATTCATCTTGAAGTGGCTCATAACTTTTACTCTTTCATAAAGGTAAAGGTAAAGGTAAAGGGACCCTTGACCATTAGGTCCAGTTGTGGACGACTCTGGGGTTGCGGTGCTCATCTCGCTTTATTGGCCGAGGGAGCCAGCGAACAGCTTCCGGGTCATGTGGCCAGCATGACTAAGCTGCTTCTGGCAAACCAGAGCAGCACACGGAAACACCGTTTACCTTCCTGCCGGAGCGGTACCTATTTATCTACTTGCACTCTGAAGTGCTTTCAGACTGCTAGGTTGACAGGAGCAGGGACCAAGCAACGGGAGGTCACCCCGTCGCAGGGTTTCAAACCGCCGACCTTCTGATCGGCAAGTCCTAGGCTCTGTGGTTTAGACCACAGTGCCACCCGAGTCCCTTTCTTTGCTCTTTTATAATTCCAGTCAGTTTCCATAACTACCTCTCTGGGTGGTTGTTTTCGGTTATCAGCCTTAGGGTCTTAATATTGCTCACTTCTGTGTTGTGCCTGTCTTTTCCCATTTAATTCACAACAATCCTCTTTTTCCCCCTTTCCATAGAGATCCGGGCAGTCCCATTGGTCAGCTGTGAAAGAGGCAGGTTTGAAGACTTGAAGGTGCACTTTCTAACAGATTCTGAAGAAAGGGAGAAAGAAAAGCTGCTAAGAGATTATCTGATGGTGATAGAAATTCCCGTGCAAGGCTGGGATTCTGGGACAACACATCTCATTAACGCTGCAAAGTGAGTCTTCATCTTCTCACTGTCCAGCACTTAACTTGATAACAGATATTCTTAAATTGGCAATGTATTCAGCCTCTCACTTTCAGATGCCCTTTTCAAAGGGTGCATTCTCTGCTTTTATTGTGGCATTTAATCCCAGACAATTAATATATCTATAAGAACGAAACAAAACAAAAAAACATTCAGGCTGGCTCTGGAACTTACAGAATTGATAAAGATCCTAACAGCTTCTGTTAGAAAACCAGTAAATGAATTTTCAGAGAAGGGCTTCCATTTGCACAACAGGCATTCCCTCATCCTACCCTTGTGCTCCCCAAAATTGGCTTGGGGGAAGGGGTCAAGAGACACCCAAAAAAAAAAACTATGCCCAGGAAGATGGAAGGGAAGATCATTCCGTTTGGCAAGCTGATATGCTTGGACAAATGGAACATTTGTAATAGCACAGTGTAGAATTTCACTCAGAATAGCTATCAGTCAAAACTGAGAGTCAGGTTCTTTCCCACTTAATGGCACTGCACAGGGAGAGAAGGAGAGCCAATTTTAAAGAAACTACAGCTTGCTTGTTCTCTTTCTGCCTAGCCCAGTCCTGTAACTAGGACTGAGACAGTGTCTCTTTATTTTGCTAAAAGAGACGTTAAAGACCATTGTCAGCTTCATAAGTGTAGGCTGTGCTGCTTTCAATTATGCACTCTTGCTGATGTAGGATGGCAGCTCTTCCTGTTCTCCCGTGTTATTATGTCATCCCAGACTGTATAAGGTATGCTGCCTTTTCCCCACCTGGTGATACCAATTCCTTTGTCTCTTTTGCCTTGAAGGTTGGATGAAGGAAACTTGCCCAAAGAGATTAACCTAGTAGAAGATTACTTCCAGCTGGTGCAGCACGAATACAAGAAGTGGCAAGAAAATGCTCGGCCCGCTGGGAGGGAACCGGGTCAGAGGAACCAGGTAGAGCTGAACTTGCCCCAGCTGTCGCTCGTGGAGGCAAAATGCGAGACTCCCAACTGCCCTTTCTACATGTCCGTGAGCACCCAGCCTTACTGCCATGAGTGCTTTGAGCAGAAGCAGCAAGGGAGCAAGGCGAGGAGGCAGAACTTCCGGCTGGGGTCTGAGAAGCCCCGGACAAGTAAATCCAGCTCACCTAAGAGCGAACACCGCGAGCCTGCTGCACGGGCATCTGAAGAACTAGTGTCAGGGCCTCGCTCTGCGCCCCCCACAGCCCCGAGCCTTTTTCTGTACAGCGAAACCACTGCCATGAAGTGCAGGACCCCCGGCTGCCCTTTCACCCTGAACGTGCAATACAACGGGCTCTGCGAACGCTGCTACAACAACACTGCAGAGCTCAGCCCTTGCAACAGCCCAGGCGAGCAGAGGCCACCAGACCAGGTGACCTGCATGTTCTGCCTCAAGGGCGCCAATAGGACCTTTAATGGCATGTGCAGCTCTTGCTTCAAAAGGACTAGAGACCATTTGTCAAGTGCCAGCAGCTCAGGTGTCGCACCTTCGGGCCATCAGAGGTCCACATCGGACCCCACCCATCTGTCACAGAGCCTCCTTCAGCAGGCCTGCCATACGGCAAGCGGCAGCAGTGCAGCAGAGTTGCCACCGCCACACCCTCCACCCCAGAGACCAGAAGAGTGGAAGAAGGGAAGCAGGAAGTGCAGGAAGCCCGGCTGCAGCTTTTTCGGGACTCCTCAAAACGAAGGCTTTTGCACACTGTGCTATTTTGAGTACCAGGAAAACAAAGGTGAGCGTAAGGGAATGTGCTTCACTTCTCCTTCACCCTTACAGAGATTTGGGCTGGCGGGGAGAGGGGTGTTTGCAAGCAGTGGAATGGAAGGTGCTCCTGTTCAATCTCAGCTTGCAAGGAGATGTAAGATGCAAACAGGACGAAGCAGTGAGATGAAGTGTAATTCTAAAGCATTAGTAACGCTGAACTGCAAGACGGAATGCAAGCCTGCAGTGGAAAAGCTCAGCTTACTTCCAGCTGCATTAGTCACTTATAATATTGAGGAATTCCAGTGCACTTTTCATGTTTTGCTGAAGTATGCAGAACAGCAACCTAACCTCAAGAGTTTGCTGTATTGGGGATGCATTTAGTTACTGGGGCATGTCCCCAGAAAGGTCCCCACATTCCTTTCTGAAATCCTGTTAGAGATTCAGTTTAAAAGCTCACTATAGGGTGCAGGTGGAAACATGATAGAACAAATTTGATAGTTTCCTAAGCAGCTCTCCATGATGGCAAAATGTACGTGCTCACTGAACAAACCATTTAAACTGCATTGGAAAAATTGTCTAGTCTGGATTGGGGGGGGGGGCATGTAAGGGTTAAAGAGGAGAAAATTCTAGCCATAGACTAGAGCAACTGATATGAGAGCAGCTGAGTAACTTGCTTGAACATATACAAAGTCAGACTGTGGGGTCACTCTATCTCAATATTATCTTAACTGGTTGGCAGAGGCTCTCCAGGTTTTCAATTAGGGGTCAGTTGTGGGGGTGGGGGGTCTTCAGATTCCGGGGATTGTTCCTGGGGTGTTTTGCAGGCCGTGCTGTAACACTGAGTGTTTTAAAAATGAATCCACACAGTTCATTTTTAGAGTTGTCATTTGTTCTCTGCGTCCATCTGCTGTATGGCATACAGAAATTCAGACAGTCCTTCTTTCCCCTTGCCGTATCCCAGTGCTAGAAGGCACACCTGCTGAAAATTGCTCCACGTTACAGAGGGTCCCTGCAAAACAAGAATACATCCTTGCTAGTATATCTCAAAAGGGACCATTTTTAGCCTCTGCAGTTCATGTAACATTGCATTCAGTAATAGCCAAGTGATGGGTAAGGTGGAGCACAGACAACAGTCCCTTTTCCCACTCTGTGTTTTCAAAGTTTGGTCGCCAAAGTCACAGCTCAGTGGCAGATGTTGACCATTGGGACTGGTGGGGCAGAAAGCGGCAAGCCCAACAATAGGTGGAGGCAGAGCTAATGAGAGGCAGAGCAAGCTGCTTCTAGTTTTGCCTCCATTCCATCCCTTCTGAGTTCTACAGTGGCAGCACTGGGACAAAGGAGGTGGAAGCTGACAGCCAGGGCCACACCCTGGACTGGTTGGAACTAGGAAGGCAGGCTGGTTGGGGCTGGCTGTGACTGACTGAGATTGGTGGGGCAGTACCCTGTTCACCCTAATAGACCAGTCATCATTCTTCAGTGGGTCACAGGTTCATTCCCTGGCATCTCCAGGTAGGGCTGGGAATGTCCCCCGTCTGAAATTCTGGAGATTCACTGTAGAAAAGACTGAGCAAGATGGCAGCATCCTGCATTCCTAAGTGACCACTTTCTTCCTTTGCTCTCATCATAGATGCTTCGGTGCCCCATCACAGAAGGTCTCAGCGGACTTCTCCTGCCTCAGGGCACTCGGGAGTCTCAGCTGCTGTGTACCAGAACACCGTTTCCTGCCTGGGTCGAGAGTGTGGCACAATCGGGAGCACGATGCTCGAGGGCTACTGCCAGAAATGCTTTATAAAAGCACAGAGCAAGCGGCTGCGTGAAGCCAGAAGAACCGAAGACCAGCTAGTGAGACAATCAGAGGTCAGTCAACATAACAAAATCTTTCTCCCCGATTTAACTTCTTGCCTTTCTTCCTAGAAAAGTCTTTATGAGTCCATTTTAAGAAGAAGGAAAAATACACTCCCATTATCATCCCTTTATGTTAGTAGTTTATTGCCTAGGATTCTGGAGATGATAGATACAGGCTCCTGAATAACAATAAAAAATTTAAACCTGCTTTTATTATCTAACCAGAAGGATGCTACATCCAAAGCATATAGAGGAACAGGGGATTATTTCTGTAGCTGTTCTCGGAAGTGTTAACTCCTGTTGATATTAACTTCTCAGAAATTACCCTAGTGCTAGTGCTGCTCTGTCACAATACAGTGGAATGGAAAACGTACATAATCTGTATCGTGTGTGTGAGAGGGGTGGATGGGAGAGGGAGAGAGAAATCTGGCCTGTACCAAAACTGGAAAACCTGAGTTTTTAGATTAGCCTAACACCAAATTCTTTTTGTTGACCTAGCCCAAGTCACTTATTCTTTCATCCATTCTTCATTTTGCAACCATCAGAATTGTCAAGAAAGTGTCACATACTTGTAATAGTTTTCCTTTTGTAACTAGAAGGGAGCAGTCTACTAGTTCTATGCAAGCCAGAAGCAGATTACCAGGTGGAGATATGCTGCTGCATTTGCTTCCCAGCTGGTGCATCTCTGTTGCTTATGGGGACAGGAGAGGAGGTGAAGAGGTCAGCGCAGTGCAAATGCACTAGCAGGAGCAATGGGTCATCTTGGCTTGTGTCCTGCCCTCTTTCCTGTAAGCCACAGTGATCCACCTGCTACAGTGATCCACTCTGCAAGCCACTTCTCATGCAGCCTGTGTCAGTGTCTTATCCAAGGCGCTTGCACAGAAGCAGCATGATTGTTTTCTAACTTAAAAAGCACACCACTGCTTGTTTTGGTTTTGGTTTTGGTTTTCACCTTTGGGAACTTCTGGTCAATAATATGACATGAATAAAAGTAACTAAAGCTCAGATAAAGGCTGTGACTGTTACAATTAGACCTGACAATGTTCTCCATTGTTTTTAGCGAACAGGACAACACAGAGATTTACGCCAGACATTCCCAAGCTCTCAGAAGCACAAGTGTGCCACAGCTTCTTGTAGGAACAACTTAGCTTCCAGGAACGGGGAACTGTGTCCGGAGTGCCTACACGTTGGTCAGCAGGCCCAGTTGGGGGGAGCTCGGGGGGACCCTCCAGCAGCTGAGCTCCCCAAGGAGCGCTGCCGAGCCCCTGCCTGCGACCACTATGGCAATAACAAGTGCAACGGCTACTGCAACGAGTGCTTCCAGTTCAAGCAGATCTATGGCTAGCAAGAGAGAATAAACGCCGGCTTTTACCTTGTGAAAGGAAAATGGTGCTAACCTCCAAAACACTCAACCCAGTCTCATTCACAGTCTGTGGAAAAAGTACACGTGACTTTGTGGCGAAAACAATAAGCTGAATTGTACATGTACATGTACACCTGCTTGTGCGTGTACGTACAAATGCACATTGTGGCACAAAGAACAATATGCTCTCCGGAATTCTGTATCCTGGGACAGAAACACAGTTTGCAGATGCAGGATGCTTATGCCGAATACTTGACTACAAACTCCTTTCTCAGTGCTCTGACTTTGTTCTATGCTAATATGCAACCATAAGAAATGAATAGACTGTGTTTCTTGCACCCCTCTTTCTGCTGATACTTCTCTTGCACACTGTCTGAATACTAAGCATTCAAAATCCAAGGAAACCTGCCTGAGATGAAGGGTTTCCTGCACTGCAACTACCACACAACCTGGGGCTTGTTGTCCTTGAAAATGCTCATCTCTCTACCAAACAGAGTCTGCTGGAAGCCATGAATGAAACAAGGTTATTAGCAAGTCATGGTAGAAGCCTTTAAAACTTGATTGTTTGGCTTAAAATTTATTTTAAAGAAACTGGTTTTGTTCTTTCTCTCTTTGTTCTTAACCAGAGTTTCATGCATGTAAAACAGCAGTCATCATCAACAACTTGGGTCTGTTGGCCACTGTTTCTCCATTTCATAATCTGTGTTTTCTTGTTTGCTACTAACCCTGCTGTCATAATTTAGAAATATGGAAGGCAGCTGGGTACGCATCTCTTCCGATATGAAAAGTTCCCCTAAATACATGCTGTTCATACATACTTGCTGGCATAGGACAGCGCTTAGGCTGGAATCATAACAAAAGCATAATGAAGATGCCCAAGGGTGCAATCCTAACCCCACTTACCTGGGAGCAAGTCCCACGGAATTTCTTCAAACGTGCTTCCAGGTGGACATGGTTGGGATTGTTCTGTTAGGCACGTTAAGACCCTGTGCTCCATGCAAACTGTGGCTGGCATCTGTCTGTCTTGGGGGACAATGCAAGAGGGTGCCTACAGTGGTGAAGTTAAACAGTGGAGGAGTTGCAGTGCCTGCTGTGACCAGTGTATGTCCCGCCCTGTGTTGTTCTCTGCCCAAGAGAGCATACCAGGGGCCCACTTAGCCGCTTGCTCCACTTCCCTGGTAGTGCATTTTAGATCCAAATGGGAGCCAAGCTGTCCCAATCTCTACAGAACCGAGTGGGAAATGAGGCTTTATTTGAGCTCCTGCATTCTCATGTGGAGCAGGAGCTGGCAGAAGAGCTGGGCTCAGCCGTTCACTTTTCTCCTTCGCTGATTGCTGCTGCAAAGGACCTGTGAGTGAATCCCATCTAAAGGGAATGAATGGAGTGCAGTTTGAAAAATGCTGCTTCTGCAGAAATCCCATTGATTTCCATAGTGTTTGGGACCAGCGTTTCAATTGGAGAATTTTCCAATCACAAAGCCACTATCAGATCCGCACGAGTTAGGCACTAAATAAAATGGCTCCTGAAGCCCCGCAGTCTAGAATGTCCTTTCTTTCCCCACCTGGCCTGATGAGTCTTTTGCTTCTGCTGTGCTGCTTGTGCTTCTACTTTCGTATATAATCCTTCCATGGCGCTCTCTTCTCCAGCCCCATTTCCTGTGAAAATCCTACACCCTGTTTTGTAAACTTTGTTAAATGTGAAGACATGTTAAAAATATTTATATTATGTATTTCAGAAGTGTAATTTTTAAATTTGCACAGTTTTGTTTTTAAGTATGGTTACTTTTTATTTCATTTTACCTCCAAAGCTGCGCAAGTGTATAACTGTGGGAGAGGGCGGAAGGGATAGAATCCAGTGGTAAAAATAAATTATTTAAGGATTCATTGTTCTTAGTGTTGTTTTATTTTTGCAGTTATTGCAATTGCTATTCTTAGAACTGTCATTCCAGTCTAGCAGCTGTTGTCCATGAGTAGATAAATGTGCTCACACAGCTGCCCTACCAGGAGAGGAAGCACCAAGCCACACAACATGACCACCTCCTAACAGATTGTCAGGAACACTGGGTCTAACAGCTTTATTCACCTGTTTTCCCAGAGGTAGAGGAAAGTGGGAGAGGGGTATGCAGCAGACCATGCTAGGAATGCTGGGGGAGAAAGAGATTTTACACTCCCTCCTCCTCTGAGATAAAGCTGTGTTTATAACCCTGGGGGATATAACCCAACCTATGACCTTTTGTCCCTGCACCAATTACAGTAACCCTATTTAGGCATCAAAGAATGTAGAAGGAAGCAATACAGAATAAAATGGGCCATGTGCATCTGCTTCTCAATATCCTTGTCTCTGCTGGCTCCACCTCAACTTTTCCACACTGAGTGGGAAGCCCAAAGGGGAATTCTTCACACATTCAGCTAAGTATGCTTAGAATCTTCCATGCGATCAGAAACCTTGATTGTGCAAAGTTCGCAGTCATTGCTAGGATTCCCCCTTAAGACCTTTGGCCCCAATATGTGAAGGTTAGGGGTGGAACAAGTGCAGGTAGATGAGGAGAGCTTTGCTGGCTCAGGTGAAAAGTCCACAGAGTTCAGCATGCTGTTCGTAACCAACCAGATCCCTATGGAAAGCCTGCAAGGAGGACTAGAGTGCAACAGCTCCCCCCAGCACTTGTGAATCCCAGCAATTGGTATTCAGAGGTGGGTGGGTCTCTGCCCACTCTCTGTACTTTATATCCCCATCTTTGAACACTTGGATAGTGCCAGTATATCATGAAATTTTGCAGTGTTGATCTGTATGTAGTGATGTGCTAGTTCATATCTATCGTATTTATTCTGTGAACCGCCTTGAGACCTCTGGGTATAGGGCAGTATATAAATTCAATAAATAATAATAATAGCTGCAGGCACATCACTACATACTACATCACCAAACATAATTTGCATACGTTCCACTGAACAATAGTTTCCACTGGAGAGTCTTTGAAAGAGGTATCTTTGCTCAGGGGTGGCATTTTCACACTAGTATCACTGACCTGGCAGTTCCCTGTCAGCACTTACTACTGTGGTCAACTTGGGCTCCACATTATTTTTCTTGTGCTCTAATCAGCACAGAGTGGGTCAGTCTAGATTCCATTTTGGATTTCCCACAATGCCCCATAGTAAAACTCCTTTGTGGGAACTTAAAATGGTAGCTAGACCCAGAAGCACTTGGAGCACCAATAGTGGAGAGGGATCTTTGCCAAGCCTCACCCCCAAAAATCTTAAACTGACTCTGGCTCTGGCACATTCTGGATTGATTTGCCAGCTTCAGAAGGAAAGCTGTCTCCATCCTACTTTGACGCCATCAAGCACTATTATATCACTTTACAAGTCATGCTTTCCCCCAAGGAATCCTGGGAACTGTACTTTGTTAAAGACTCTGAGAGTTGCCGGAGGCCCCTATTTCCCTCAGAAAGATACAATTTCCAGAGTAGTTTTAACAATCAATCCCTCTTCCCATGGAACTCTGGGAATTTGAGCCCTGTGGGAGAAATAGAGGTCTCCTAACAAGTCTCATCACAAACTACAGTTCCCAGGATTCTTTGAGGGAGGCTATGATTAATAAAATGGTATAATAATGTTTTAGCTGTATGGTGCAGATGCAACCTGAATTTCGAAGCGGAGGGTAATAAGACAAAGGTCATCACCTTCTTAGGTACTAAACACTTAGCTCTGAAGAGCACATCAGACAGTCTAAAACTACAATGGCAGCTGTTTGGCAGCTTTAAATCTCGGAGCCAGAATGGTGACTGGGTTGGATTTTAATCAGATTTCAAAGTCGCATTCCCTTATCATATGCAGACACTCAAGAGGCAGCATCGTTGAATGCAGATATGTCAATGGTCAAAGAATGTCCATTACGAAAATTCTCCTTTATTCTTATCTGCTCAGCATTGCAAAGCTGTTACTCATATCTTTCAGTCACAAGAGGTGTTCTATATCACGCTGAAATACCTCATGCAAATGACAAAGCCTTCTGTGTGAACCGCAAATTAAGCATTTTAAACACACTGGTATTTCCCTGACTTCTTTGGGGGAGGCTGCATTTTAGACCACTAGCACAGCCTATAACCAGGTTTCAAGCTGACAAGTATTTTCCAGGAGGGATCTCAAATGCAGAGGCCTGAATCACAATTCTCGCTCAGAATAGGTAAGAGGGTTGCACAGTTGTACCACACACCAAGAATACAGTTGCTGGTGTGGAGCAAATTATAATAGATGTGCCCATCCTACGCAACGTGGTGTAGTGGTTAGAGTGCTAGACTAGGACCTGGGTTCAAATCCCCACTCAGACACAAAGCTCACTGACTGACCTTGGGAAAGTCACCTTCTCTCAGCCTAACCTACCCCACATGGTTGTGAGGGTAAAATGGGGAGCGGGGGGAGCATGTATGCCACTTTGAGCTCCTTGGAATAAAGGGTAAAATAGATATGCAATAAATAATATAAATAAATCTCACTTTGACCTTGTTAGTGTCTGAACCCAGGCTTTTGTTTCTTTTGTCAGCAATGCAGAACGAAGACATAACATTGGGTGTAATAGGTAGTTTATGACAGAAACTCCATGCCTACTCTCACACAAATCTCCCAGTGTGCAGCAGCCATACTTTTTGGGGGGGGTCATATAATTTTTAGTCTCACACTGAACAGATTATATCAACTGTGAAGCCACATGCTAAATTCACTCAATCACTCTATGATTGTAGATTCTTGATGATGACTTGGCTAGGCTTTACCAACCAGCAACTTTTGATTGCTTCCTCTGCTCAATGTGTCCTCTATAACTGGCAACTCCTGGGTACCCATTAGGCCCCATCAACCATTTTATTTACTTCCCCAGGAATATGCTGTCACTTTAATAATGCAAAGGAATAAAGTAAATAATCTTAATTAACTAAAATAATATTGGGAGCGTTTTCACCCTGAGGTACCTACCTCCGGTAATCTGCA